ACTTAAAAAATAACTTCTAATTTAAGTGAACTTAAAACAATCTTCACATAAACCAATTATAATAAATGTCATATTTACCTGTACCATTCAGCAAGTAGGAAATATATAGAAATTGAATAAAGTTATCAAACACTAAATTATAAATTAAATATAGATGAATCCTTAAAGCTACTTGTAAAAGTTATTGATTTCCTTTTGTTCTTTGTTTAACAGACATCACAGCAGCTGGGTAATTAGGTTTTTTTGGCTGCTTTTATTTGAGTCTAAGTCTGAATACTTAGGACCATGTGATATTTCAGTTTTTCTTTTTTAATAAATCTGCAAAAATGTCAACGATTCTGTGTTTTTCTGTCAATATGGGGTGCTGTGTGTACATTAATGAGGAAAAAAAATGAACTTAAATGATTTTAGCAAATGGCTGCAATATAACAAAGAGTGAAAAATTGAATGGGGTCTGAATACTTTCCGTACCCACTGTATATATATATATTTTTTTTTTTCAGACTGTACCTCCTCTACATGACACAAATCTGTTTGATCTTCTAGTCCATCTCATGATGGACATATTCTGATAAACATCATCACACACATCGCACATTGTACCTTCATGTACCAAACACACAAGGAATACTGGCGAACCAATGCATTCGTTTTTAGATTTACTGGTGGTTGTGAATGATAATGAGTCTCTAAAGATCTATTTTATGGGGTGTGACCTCATCCTTGCTGTTAGGATGAGTGAGAGGGAGCTTTTATCTGTTGATACAGACTGTGAATATACAGATCATCTATCTCGACCGAACAGGCCAGCACAGCTTTACCCTGCAGTCTCAAATGCTGTTTGAGAGCCTGCTAGCAGTGCATTCAGGGGATACGCCTCATTATTCCTGTCTGACTCAGGTCTACAGTCTCTTATTGCTGTGTTTTCTTATCAAAAAACCTTTTGAACCAACACAGCTGACCTTCATCATAAGAAAGAGTGATGGGAGGGCAAAGTTTGCCAATTTCCTGAATGCCATTATTCATATATACGACTGCAGTCAGAGGTGCTTCTCTTTCCACAAGCTGCGTTATTGGGATATTTGATGAAATAATGACCTTCACATCATAAAACTCCTTCAGCAGCAGCTAAGGCTGTACCTCGTGTCAAAGCACATCATTCTCTCTCATCAGGTACATCCAGAATTTGAACCTTTGATCATTTTGATCACTTTTCTTCTGCTGCATCATGTCCTGAAATGAGCCATGCAGCCCGAAGCTTGTTTTTCATCCTCATGATCATAAAACTCCTCAAACTCTGACATCAAAATAAAAGAGGAAACTGATAACAAACCTCTTTCACACAAAAATGCCAAACCACAAAACATAAAGCTTTGTTTAATCTTATATAATGAACATTTTTATTTAGGGAGTCTATACTAATGTCCATGAACCATGTATGTGTTCCTATGAGAGCAGCAACCTTTATTTATTTGTGTTCTTTTTAAATAAAGTGTATTTCATGTTAATATCAGTCCATTTCTGGTAAATAAGGCAGTTTAAAGACAGCTATTGGTTACAAAGACAGTAAAACATCGCTCTCTAGTGAAGGATTCATAATCTTTGCATGCATTCATAAACTACGAGGAAGCATCAACAATATGACACAATATTTTACAAGCTGTCTCATGAGAACAGTAATATACATTGACCAGACACTATGTGCGCGTTTAGGAGCTCGCTGAAAAACAAACGGCAGGGTACGTTGGGTCCTCCAAGCATAAGAACGATGAATGTTCACAGGATTTGGATATTTTCCGCAGACATCCACTAGTTAAGTCATGAACATGTCAAAACACACAAGAGACGTGTAACATCAGTAGCATCTTTTAAACTTGATGAGTTTGTGGAAGGCTTGTTTGAAGTCATCATTGAAGGCAGTATAGATGACTGGATTGATGAGCGAGTTGAGGTACCCCAGCCAGGTGAACACATCAAAGAGCACAGGATGAAACCAGCAGTCTTTACAGACCCCCATCACCAATGTGAACACGAAGAACGGGAGCCAGCACACTATAAACGCACCCAGGATAATCCCAAGAGTTTTGGTGGCTTTCTTCTCGCGAGCGGCACAAAGACGCTTTCTTTCCAGCATGCTATCGGCCAGCTTCACTTTCACACTGTTTGTGAAAAGAGGAGACCCTCCTCCCCCACCTCCTCCTCCTCCAGGATGAGGATGTCCCTCCTGATTAGAGGTGGAGTTCAGCGAGCAGAGCGAAGAGCCCGCTGAGTTCTGGATGAGCTGAGCAGCGGTGAACCGTTTTCCGCTTGTCGTTGGCGTTTTGAAGATCCTGGAGCGAGCCGCCACATAGATACGCCCGTAGAGAATCATCAAGAGAACCGTGGGAACATAAAACGCGCCAAATGTGGAATAGAGCGTGTAGAAGATCTGGTCAGTGTTGACCATGCACTCTGTGAGCTCCTCGTGGGCCTTAGCCTGCCGCCAGAAGAGAGGAGGCAAGGAGATGGAGACCGAGATCACCCACACTACGCCGATCATCAGTGCCGCTCGCCGCATGGTTCGATGCTTCGAGTATTCCAAGGCATCGGTAATGGCCCAGTATCGGTCGAGCGCGATCACGCACAGGTGCAGAATGGAAGCCGTGCAGAACGTTATGTCAGATGATAGCCAGATATCACACACGATCTGACCTAGAGTCCAAGTCTTACTGACTGTGTACACAATGCTGATCGGCATGACTAAAATGGACACCAGGAGGTCTGTCGCTGCGAGAGAGCCAATCAGGAAGTTGGCGGGGGTGTGAAGCTTGCGTGTGAGGAAAATGGTGGCGATCACGAAAGCGTTGGACAGAGCGGTGGCCAAAGTGACGATGGCTAACATGGCGGAGATGGAGATCTGAAGGCTGAGGAGTGAAGCGTCATCCCAGGACTCCAGGGTTGTGGGACTGACTGTGGCATTGATGAGGAAGAACTCATCTGAGCTGTTCACCAGATCCATGTTGCATGGTTCACCAGGGCTTCATATCATCTATGCATGATTCTTAGCATAAAGGATCAATTAATCCATGAAAACA